ACTTTCTTTTCACTTTCTCCTTTCTCCAGGATTCAGGGCGTCATCCTAAGTTTTCTAGTAACTTCACCACTGCGCCCTCAACTTTAGGTCTACCTTTCATTTTCGACCGCGACCAACTTTTCGTGCCCCCTCCCTTTAAGGTATCTCGACCATGGGACCAGCTCAGATTTGTCTCAAAATGCTAAACCTACATAGTGTATCAGTTCGGCTTCGCACGCTAAATGCGCATTACTGTACTCCAGCGATGTTAAAAAGGGCAGCTGAAGTTTTTGCCCTGCCCTTCTATTGCAGACTCCGCCCACTCTAGGGTTTGGAACACCTAAACACGGAAAACACAGAAAATGAAGTCTGTATTCGTTTTTCTAACCTCCATGCGGTATTTTTACCGTCTGTGTATTTGAGATTCTAGCCTCACCCACTTCAGTGCACGCCCCATGAGCCAGTGTAAATCGACCTACGCTCCTTCGATATCATATATCCTGCATTTCCCAAGTCTCTGAGGCTTCTCGGAACAAAGTTTTGGAGTTTCATGGCAAAATCTACCCATTTTGGCACGCCCCGCCCTAAAATACGTTTGTCCTTTCCTCCTTCGCTGACCTTGATCCACATCAATGTGGATAGATAATACGAAGGCAGAAAACGGTAGGCGCTGTCAGGGATGGCAGTAGAGTGGTACTAAATTTCGAATCGATTCGTCCTTATACTACTTGTGTAGAAAGTCCCATACTGAACTCGATCACCACGGCGATTTGTTACACTTTAGTGGCGGAACCTTGGGTTTTGGCAATCATGGAAAGGTTTAGTCCATGCATAGCAGTTTTGTGGCACAATCGTCGGAGCACAACATCAACCCCTCCGTTGATATAACGAAACCATCGATTACCACCATTTATTTCCATCACTTTACAGCTATTCGACCATATTGCGCAATGTATCGCGCTCTTCACCGAGGAGCAATTCGGTAAAGGTGTAAGGAAGAAGCTGCCGCTTGGATTCACTTTCTCATTCCCTTGTAAACAAGACGGCCTAACAAAGTGAGTATGAAAAAATGTGCTCTATCATAGTACTGTTAGTCGTTATAAAGTCACAAATTACATTTTTAGGGCCAAGTTGATTCACTGGACAAAAGGATTTAGCGCTAGCGGCTGCGAAGGTCACGATGTCGTGCAATTGTTGCGAAGAGCAGTCAGAAAGCGTGGAGTACGTTTTTTTTTCTGGGGGCGGGGTGGGGGAAGGGGCGTGAGTTGAAGTCGAGTAGCTGCATTCGGAAAGCGTTTGTGAATGCAATAGATCAGGTCATGAAAGAACTATAATATTTGTTTCATGTTTGTGTCTTCGACTAACATAACACTAGCCATAAGGCCCATGTGGACGTCTGATCTTTCCTTTGATTTTTGGTACCTGTCCCCCTACGTCCTTTTGTAGCGCTCTAAAATACACTGATGTGCCAAACGTAAGGCAGAAAGTAACTTTCGCATATATCTCACTGCTAAATAGTCATATAAAGGACAAGGAT